TTTGAATGTAATTTAAGCTTTGCCATGAGACTTGAAACTGAAATATTCATGCCAAATTCTACTGTATATCTACAACTGCAACGAGGATATTAAATACGTTAAAATTTTCCATTAAACTGAATTATACATAAATATCATTTTTCTTGTTTGTAAAACGTAAAGCGTGGGTCGTAAACACATTTAATATCGTGCAATAAAACTCTGAAAGGTTTTTATAAATAACTTTGACTGTAAAATGTTTCAGGAACAGAAATAAACTTGCATTGTTATAAACCGCAATGCGCATAGTACAGCAATTTCTAGACTACCTAGATAGATAGGGTTGTCAATATAATGTTGCTCGTACTATTAAAAAAAAAACTGCGCACGCTGCTCATGAGGAAGAGCCCCTCTGTGGTTCGAAACTAGTAGAGCTTTTCTCAGTATATTGACGTGAGTAACCCGCGTTTTTAGTTAAAAAAAACTATCATATTTGCTATCATATAACTTTCCGTTTTAATATAATAAACTAAATTAATTATTATGTTTTCGTCTTACTCACGTAACTGTTTGATGAGGAACTCGACTAGTTTCAAGCCATGCTAGAGGCATATAATCATGAGCAGCATTCCGGGACACAAGACACGGCGACTGTCACGCTGCTACCGCTGCAAAAACATAATAATTTATCATAATATCAACTTGTTATACAATAAACTAAAACATACACATAGCTTTGTTTTTATAATAACTATCGTGATACATACTAAATTAATTAAAAATCGCGCGTTACTCGAATGAAAATTTGCGTAAAAGCTCTACTAGTGTCATTGCTTATGCGGAAGAACCCCTATGTGGTTCGAAACTAGTAGAGCTTTTCTATACGTGAGTAACCCGTGTTTTAGATCTGTTCAAACGCATCTCATGTCAGTTTAAAAAGAGAAAAATTAAACACTAATTTTATCGAAATCAATACAGCCGTTTAGCAGTTCAACACGTAATTGCTACAAATATTTAAGATAACCCAGTTCGTAATTGCTACAAATATTTTAGTAGTAACCCTTTAAAACAACCGATATACGAGTACATGCATACTTTTTATTTTATTGTATTTTTGTGATCTACTTTTTTTTTTTTTTTTTTTTTTAAATCTTACATTTCATATTCTCCACGGACTCTTGTCCGTGCCCTTGTCATTCCATTACATTTTCTTTTAATAATTTACAGTCAAAATTACTTGTTACAAAAATCTTACGTGCTACATTAACCACATTTTTTTTTTTCACAAAGAAGGTTGTGTCTAAATCTAATATCTATATATACACAATACATGTTTTATTACATTTACATTAACCTTACTGGATCGGCCCACACGCGCGATGAGCGAGCCGACCTGCTCCAGCAGAAGGCGCCCGTTCACGAGCATGACGTGAGGGCCAGCAATCGATCCGATCAACCATTTCGTAGGGAACGGAGCGACCCAGCCCACAGCGCCACCGACTGTAGAACATTTAAGAATGCATGACGTCTGCTCACGCAGCAGTAAGCCGATTCCAGTAGTGCCAATGGGTTTTGTCAGTCTTATTGATAAAATTTACATTACGTTACATTATATTTACTACATTTTAACATTATTAAACACACACAAATATAAAGGTATATTAATGTCACGCTTGCATCACAATTTAAGCTTACAGCGAGCCCTCCCCACCCAAAAGAGCGCCCACTACCGCCATGTCCCTGTTGCTGATATTTGTGATCTACTTAATATAGATGTGATTTTACAATCGTAGCAAAAACTATATACATCATTATTAACCCTAAAAAGATCTACATCCAAACCAATTTCTTTCAACAATTTCGCGGTTGTCAACCTTAGACAGCCTACTAGTGGGTCAAAGAGTTCAAGGTCAGTTGTCTGTCGGCAATGAGGCGGGACGGTATCGTGTGGGTAAATGTCTCTATTCTTTATATGGAATTACAATACAATGTCTTATGTGGTTTATTGTATACTAAGCTAACAAAAGGTTACTTGTTATTATAGTAGGAAAATAGGGGAATTTTGGTTCGATGATTATTATACCAGGCTCGTTGACTGCCTCGTTGGCCGAGTGGTCGCAAGTGCGACTGCCGGGCAAAGGGTCTTGATTTCGATTCCTGGGTCGGGCAAAGTACAACTGAGTTTAAAAAAAAAATCTCATTAGTAGCACGGACTCTGGAATTGTGCCTGGTATATGGCAATAGGCTCACCCCCTATTACATGGGGCTCATAACATAAATAGTGAAAAGTAGGTGTTACATTGTACAGTGGCAGGGCCGCAATGTGCACCTCTGCCTACCCCTTCGGGAATAAAAGGCGTGATATTATGATGATGATGATATTTGAACTATCAATTTATGCTAAAGGTAGGTAGTTTTCAACTGTGTGCCTGTAAAACTCAGTATTAAGTCGCAGTATAAACCTCAGACACTTATATGATCAAGGCCAAGGCAGAATAAGACAATTCATTAACTAAATATTAAAACCCCACAAGGACCTAGGCATTTTATATTAAACTATAAATTATGCTGCGACCTAGCTTTTTACCTGCTCAAAATAGATGAGATTTATAACAAAATTATATACCCGAGAGTATTCTCTCCGGGGCCGAATTTTTATATCAAAATGTTTTCTTACCTATTTATTAGAAACTACGGATATTTAAATTAAATAAATAAGTATAGAGCTTTAGACTGTCTTATTAGTCGCTTGGTCTATGTTTGACAACAGGGCAATGGATATCGGGTTCGATTTTTGAGTGAGGAAAAGTGTTTTGACCGTAGTAGGTTTTTTCATAGTTTATTATTAGAAAAGAGGTGGAAACTTATGTTTGAAGAAAAAAAATACAACGGAAACCTTTAAGAGAAATGTAATTAGAACGGCTAGATAATTGTTACAAAATTATTGTTACCTCAAATTAGCAAACAAATAAATATTGGTTGCCAGGCAAACGTATTGAAGGTCTCACGAATCTCGAACACAAAGGAGATGCGCTTTTTATACTGAATTAAATTTTCTTCTATCTTCAAATATTATATATAAATATCATAGCGACATTTAATAATCTGCTGACAAACAATACTTAGCTACGAAAATATAGCTTTTGTTGACAAAACCATTATTTTCTTATTTAAGAACAAAGAAAACCAAAGAGCCACAACAGGTGTACAAAGTCAAGTCATTTACGAAGTCATAAATTTTATTTTATGGCTAAAACATTTTGACCATTAGATAGCGTTTGACAAAGCGACAATTTTATGTCTATTTCGTATAATTAAGGTGTTTCACTTAGTTTGTTGGTATATCGGACACGCTATTTTATAACTTAATGGAAAATAAGTCGTTAAAGTCAAGAAAGAATAAGAATAATGATAACGGGAAATTAGTGGAGTCGATGTTTATATTTTATTTGTTGGAGATATATCTAGTTATGTTTTGGGATTTGTTAATGTTTTTTTTATGGGATAAGCCGGTAAAGCCGGATCACCTGATGGTAAGCAATTGGCGTCGCGCATGGACACCTGAAACACCAGAGTCGTTACAAGTGCATTAATTACCGGCCTTTTAGGAATTGAGAATTTGAGGATTTTGGGGGATTCAGGGATTGGGGAGACTGGGGAGGGGGAGGGGAAATTGAGTCTCCGGTGTTCTCACTTACACGATGAACCACAACGTTGTTTCGCGTCGGTTTTCTGTGAGGCCGTGGTATCACTCCGGCCGAGCCGGCCCATTCGTGCTGAGCATGGCTCTCTCACACTTAATAGGGATATTAATTGAAGTTGGTTACATTTCTATATTTTTTTGTTTTTCTTTTATATAATTTTAATCATAAGTTGTATATATTTTATTATTAATTTAGTAATAGTTAATTTTAATATTATTTAAGTTTTTATTGGAAATTTAATAAAGGTTATAAGTACTTCTAATATTGTTTTCTATAGATATTAAATTAAAACTAGTTTTGTTGGTGACTGTGCCCATATCAAGAGAAATAGAATTTGTAATAATTTTGTACGTATTTTCTTCCATATTTGACAACAATTTCTTCCACCAAAAACATGCACAAATCAAAACAGATTTTTTTTTTGTTACTATGTTCAATAGCTAGTTTACCAACCATTGCAAAAACTGTACAGTCTGCTATTCACGTAGGATTCTATTATAGTTTTTTTATTCTATTAAACTCGGTATTAGAGTTCAATGACATCTAATTGCACTGTGAACATGATTATATACCGCAGGACATTATTTCCGACTAGCCGTGTTTTTATATGCACTGCGCATTGTGCATAAATCATGTGGGAATTAATAGCTTTTGTTATAGAAAAATATAATGCAAGTCATGTCGTTTTTACCTAATATTTGCATTAATAGAATATTTTTTTTAATTAAATATAGAATTAAAAATACTTCATATTGTAGAGAACATACCTACATTCATAACATCACACCTGTCTCACATTGGGGTAGGCAGAGACTATGCAACGCCCGACGATTCTTACATACCTCTTTCGCTTCGTAGAGAACATTAATGAAATAAGACTTCATAGTCACTTAAGGGGCCAGTAGAATATTAGCGTAAGTGTATCTTGCACATGCTGAACTGGTCGCATTTCGCCGCAGACCTAGGACATGAACATGTACCTATAAGTACTTATAATCTAACCTTTATAATCGTTTATAAATCTATATATGGTACTAGAGCAAAATTAATAAATGAGCAAAACAATATATTATTTTTAATAAACTGTTCTAACAACCCCCTTCGATTCAAAATAGTTTTAATTTTTATAGAAAATTAATAAGTACGAATTTAATCCTTCTTTGCCACCTAGCTTGTAGCTTCATATAGCTTCACTGACGGACTGACTGACACATTGTATTTGTGGATATTTCAAATGTGGTCATGGTTTAATTGAGTTATAATCACTATGGTTTAATTGAAAAAATGCTTTGACTTTGACTTTTACTTTCTTTCCAGATACCCTATCAGTACATTACTGCAATAGAGAAGTGAAGATTGCAGAAATGGGTGAAGACAGCGAAGGGTACATTCGTACCCCAGGTTACCCACACTTCTACGTCGGTGACGAGTGCCGCTGGCGACTGAGGGTTCACCCCGAACAAAGGGTTAGGGTGACCTTGATGGATGTCAGTTTGAGAAGTAAGTACTTATGAGTATTGTTTCGATAAGGTTGGATGAGTGGCTTTGGATGTTTGTTGATGGTTGCTTTGAGTGAAAAAGAAAAGAAAATTTGTTTTTGGTGAAAATTAGCTTGCCTTATTAGTTTGAGACGTCAATATTGTCTCCACTATTTAGTAGTTGACTATTCTGCCAGCGCAGCGTCATGTGTTACGGCAGGAGCTAATACCCTTTATCGATTTTGTTTTTTGACATACTGCTGTTAAAACTAAGAATGCAATAATCGTAAAATGGCTGTTCGAGACAAACGTTAAAAACATATTTTGTATCATCTGAGCTAGATTTTTCTAATTCGAATATCGATTCACCAATAAAAAATACTCATTGTTCTTGATCAGTACTGCTTTATTTCTTAGACCTTTTATAAAACTGCGTTTATTCTTATCTTTGGAGCAGTTTTCATGTAAGTACGGTAAAAATCACTACATAAAAACATATGTAGGTTTTAAAGTGTGGGAGAGCCATGCTTCGGCACGAATGGGCCGGCTCGACCGGAGTGATACCACGGCCTCACAGAAAACCGACGTGAAACACCACTTGCGTTGTGTTTCGTCGTGTGAGTGAGGTCATCGGAGGCCCAATTACCCCTCTCCCTAGTATCCCGAAACCCGAATCCTCCACAATCCTCAAATTCTCAATTCCCAAAAGGCCGGTAACGCATTTGTAACGCCTTGGTGTTTCGGGCGTCCATGGGCGGCGCCGATTGCTTATCATCAGGTGATCCGTCTGCTCGTTTACCGGCTTATATTGTAAAAAAGGTATTTCGAGTGAAAATATAAGAATTATTTTATTTACATAAACCTCTTGGGATGCCATTTCTGGAAAAATGTGAAAATCACAACTTACGGTTACTGCATTCTTTGTTACCAGAGTAGCCTTTTTTTTTAAGGGGGGAAAATCTTCGAACGATTGCTCCCGCCTGGGTGACGCGGGAGGGAGTGTCAGACTCTTACTGACTAAAAACCACCCCGTTTCTTCTCCTGCACGTCGAGCCGGAGCCCCGGTTACCTGTTAGGTTCTCCGCGACTCCGAATCGTCTACCAGAGTAGCCTATTCTATGCCAAATGATCTCTAATGATTTTAGATACCGATTGGTTATTGAAATCGGCAGTAATTTGACAGATTGCCAATTTCTGGTGTTGCCAAAGTCGGCTATACTGATCATTGTTTCTTACTACAGTCAACAGTGACTGAATGATGCGTAAATAAAATTCCAGCCTTGTTGACTTGTCTTTTAATACAGTAGATACTTTAAAATCGAAAGCCCATTGCCACAAGCACAAGTCAAATGAAACGTCCTTTTATCCTATAATCTCTTGTCCAAGCGACTGAATATTTAATATAAATAAAATAAAGCATAATAATATAAATATAGCAACCTTTGAGTTACTAATGAAGTCGACAAGCCTTTAGTTTTAATCTGGTTACTGGTGATTCTGACAGGCGGCTCTCTGTAACTGACAGGTTTAATCTGATATTGCATGGACGCGAGAGATATTAAATTGTGAAGCTGAAAATATAGATGTGTGCTGCAAATGTAGGCTGTCGTTATGTCAGTATTACCGATGTGATTATTTTTGTATGACTTGGCTTAATGACGTCATGCCTATTATTCCTCGCAGAGTCGATGGAATGGTAAAGTGTTGTTTTTTTCGTGTAACTATATAACGGGGTGATAATGATTTTGGGTCTAACTTTGAACATGGTGGTTCAGTCTACTTTTTTCCTTTCACCAGACAGGAAGAGTTTTAAACAAATATTAAAATACTGTTTCAATGTGATTCAAGCTTATGTCATTTTCTCAGGTATAGGACCGTTCGAGAATCGGTGTACTGACCACGTGACGGTTCAAGACCTGAATGGAGACATCCTCCTCTCGTCCTGTGACCAGGTGGACCTTCCACTAAGGCTGACTTCAGTCACCAACATAGTCGATGTTACCGTAGAAGCAAAATCCAAAGGAGCTTATCCAAAAAGAGGGGTTTTGTTGCATTATAAAAGTGAGTAACTCTTACGAATTTAATTGTTATTGTTAAAATTAATTTGGTTTGAATCATAAGAAAACATCAAAAAATGCAATTTTATATTTTGTTAAAATTAAATTCAGCGCCATCTGTGTTTAATAGCTTGTACTAAAACTTTGAAACAGCGCCATCTAACGGTTTCTTTTTCACTTACAGGTATAGGTTGCGTTACGCCACTACCGCCATCTAACGGCTACCTTGTGTACCGCAACGAAGACGTTGCTCACTACGTGTGCAACGTGAACTTTGTTTTCGTGGATACGCGACAGAGGGCGCGCTTAATATGGTGCTATGATGACAATAGATGGAATGACACTGTGCCTTTGTGTGTTGGTAAGTTTTTTGTAGCTTCAACTTTTATTTTTAGAGTGGGAAGTTCAAAGTCTGAGAATATCTGACAACTGAATGAAGAAAAACAAAATGGACTAGATTTAGCTCAATGATCTTTTTTTGTTTGAGCTCAAAATAGTGGTTGTTTAAACAGATTAGATTATTTGTCTGCTTCGATCCGAACAAGAAAACTGCTCAAAAATTATGACTGTCATTAAATTAATGATTAAATACGGTGATTTAGCGATTCAGTTTTTAAACTTCAAACAATTAGCTAGTTAGTTAATTAAACTGAAAATGCTGTTTCAAATAGTTACTGGATTGTTCATAACTGTTTTATAGCTTTCCCATGTTTATTTAGCTTTCATAAAAATATTTACTGCAAGAAATATACGATGAATGAGTTCGGAATGACTTCCCATAGGCTTGTCAATCTTGCCATAAAGCAGATAGCTCATAAAATATCATGGCGTAGCACAAAACTTGTCGATAACAATAAACGCTCCCCATAAAAACTTCTTTTGAACCATTTCAAAGACTTCGTGGGGAACCATAGCACATGCGCAAGTTCCCAATCACTTTTCTCCGTCACACAACTCATATCACGTACGAACAAAAGAGATAGCAACATTCATTTCAGGTACACCACGATTATTTACCTTAAAAAGTTGGTATCAACTTTTGACTTTAATGCGTAGATGATAAAGATCAGAATTGATTGATGTGGGTTGTTATTATTTTCATCGTGGAACCAAGGGCTTCATTTCTCTTCAGTGATCATTCGCCCGCGTTCCATCCAGTATAGGATATTCGGTCTCCGGTCGCCGTCGTGTGCGTTCGGCAAGTTCGAAATTCGAAATACGAATTTTGTGAAATCGCGTGTCGAGGGAAACACGTGTTTCTGCCAAAGTGAGTTTATAGTTTATAATTATAATGTGAATAATTATAAATATAAGTTATAGTTATAGTTGTGTTATTTAGGTGTGTTTTATAATTATATTCCAGTGTTTTATTGTGAAGTTTTCAGTTTCTTTAAATATTTGGTAAGCTAGTGTTGGGATTAATTGGTTAGGACAAATTATTTTTATTAACATCTTTCGACTACAAAATATATTTTAATAATTATTTCACGATGAATAAATTTCCCTCCAAATAATTCATTGAATGAAAACACAGTGTTAATTAAAAATAACTTATTAATTAAATATGGCGGGAGGATAAATATAAATTTATTATTACGTTTCAGTATTCTGTACAGTACCTAAGTTAGTATTATTAATACGTAGCTCCTAATAGTATTACGGACATCCTTTATGAATTACAAATAGGTAAGCACGGATCTAGACGCCTATATTTCAAAATTAATTTATTCAAGGAAGTGCGTGTAGGTCTAGGTATTAGGATATCTTATAGATTTTGGGTGTAATTTATACAAATTATATATATTATTATCAGATTAATGATTAATATACTTAGTAGTACTTTCTAAGATTATTTAGACACCACTGACAAACGGTGAAGGAAAACATAGTGACGAAACCTGTGCTTATACCTAATTTCTAATTATAAGTTTGAAATTGCTAACCCGCATTGATCAAGCGTGGTGATTAATGCTGAAACCTTCTCCGTGTGAGAAGAGGTCTTTGGTCGGCAGTGGCCACTTATAGGATGTTGATACTTATTAGTAGATTAGTCATGGCTTGGAACAGTGAGATACTAGAGTCTAGGTTTAATTATTGATGAATACTGCTATTTCTATTTACACGCTTATTATACTTATTTATACGACTTATGACTTTTATAAGACGCGTTTTACGTTTATAATAATATTCTAATTCGACGCAATAACTAGTGAGGATTGGGGGCTGACAGAGATCTATTAATTCTGAATAAAATACCTATACTATCCACCTCTTTGTTTTGTGTTACTATAATAATATTTGTGAGACATAGTAAATTAACTAAAAATTGTGGGTTACTCACGTGAATATAATGAGAAAAGCTCTACTAGTTTCGAGCCACGGAGGGGTTCTTCGTCGTCGATGTCAGAAGGCTGTGCGACGTCGCCGCGGCCGCGCACGCTGCCCATGAGGAAGAGTCCCTTTATGGTTCGAAAGTAGTAGAGCTTTTCTCAGTATTTTTACGTGAGTAACCCGCGATTTTTAGGTAACCTTCTATCTTTTCAAAGGGTAGGTAGAGAACACTAACTAACTCGTTACTTCATCATCAATTCATTACCATGTATGAGCTTCTTCTATATAAGAGGGGGTTCCTCCTCCTCCTCGCTTAGCAGGCGAGTGGGAATCTGTCCGAAAGCCCGAAGGGATAGGCAGAGGTGCACATTACGGCACTTAATGCCACACTGTACACCCACTTTTCACTATTTATGTTATGAGTCCCATGTAATAGGGAGTGAGCCTATTGCCATATACCGGGCACAATTGCAGACTCCGTGCTACTACTGAGATTTTTTAAAAACTGGCAGTAATACTTTGCCCGACCCGGGAATCGAACCCGACACTCCTTGCCCGGCAGTCGCAATTGCGACCAACGAGGCAGTCTATGATAATACGATTACTTGATAACACATCAATTGATAAAAAAAAGAAAAGGAAGAAGACTACATGGTCCAAAATACATCTTCATACATCAAATAATAGTACTAGGTAATCAGAACTACAAATGCTAACTACCTATAATGGGTTTTGTACTCAAAACACGTGCATTGATCCTTTATCGGTTACACATTTGACCAGCTGTTTCATAGATAACATTTACTATTGTACTATAGACGACCGCATATCAAACTCAATAGAACTGGTCGACTTTTCTAATCGATTTCCAGCCTTATCATTTTGTGATAAAGTTAAAAATCTATTAAAGATTTTGGGTTACCTTGATGCGCTTGATGTCTAGACTTGGAACAGCGAACAATTGTTAAGTGTTCCAGGGTTCGATTGGAGGTTAAACTAATGTAACGGCTTACCGGGGCTCCGGCTCGACGTGCCGGAGAAGGAACGGGGTGGTTTGTAGTCAGTAAGAGTCTGACACACCCTCCCACCTCACCCAGGTGGGAGCAGTCATTTGATAATTTTCCCCCCTTAAAATAAACTAATGTGTCGTGTTTCGATTTTTAAAATTCTATCTAATGATAGGCTTATTATGCGTAAGCGATTATATTCATGCGACTATGCGTAAGCGAGCTGGCGCTCTCGTGCGCAGAGTGCGGGCTAGTTCCAACAATGTCCTGGCAATGATAGCGCAGAGACATGATTGTCTCATAATTAGGAATTGCTGCGACAGGCATATTTCAGTGCATATACCACCGAGAGTGCTTTAGTATGTCTGTTTTAGTACCAACATACTGCATGTGTCTGTTTTCCGTGTGTGTATTTAATTTGTATTTGTTTTCTGTATTGTTTTGTCTGTTTAAATGTGCTTACTAACATATTTTTGTAAAGATGTTTCGTATTTTTGATTTTTGATTTTGTTACTAACACAGTGGACCATTGATGTCTTAAATAAATAAATGATTGATTGATTGATTGATTATAATAACAGGTTCACTCTCTTCATCTCATGCTATTCCATCTCCATTCCATGCAGTATATTTAAGAATACAAAGTAATATTGATAATAATTTCAAGTATAATTTAACAAGATGTTATAATAAAAGACTGCCTCATTGGCCGAGTGGTCGCAAGTGCATCTGCCGGACAAGGGGTTCGATTCCTGGGTCGGGCAAAGTATTAGGTTCTGGCTCAGTAGTAGCACGGAGTCTGGAAATGTGCCTAGTATATGACAATAGGCTCACCTCCTATATGGAACTCATAACATAAATAGTGAAAATTCTTTTATATAGTTTAACTCGTCGAGTACCGTCATTATAGACACAATTAAAGAACTATAGGTTGCGGTCACCGGTGTCCTCGCGGTGTTTGACAGTTTAAAGACTGTCGGTAATTGTGAGTCAATGTGTAAATTATACATTTAATCATAATATCTACGCCTATGAAGAATAAAAGGCGTGATGTTATGTATCTGTACATATGTGTATGATAGAGTCTGTTAATGAGAATATATCAAAGGTCACATTAGTTTATCAGGACAAATGGTTTCAAAGAAATAATTATAACAATTATAAATAAAAGATATATTATTTTGTGTACCAGTTATTGATAAGAATCTGAGTTCAAGGCGCGTTGTAATTATTAGTTTTTACTACTAGCCGTTGCCCGCGACTTTGTCCGTGTAGAATATTTAATTCATAGTTTCAATTTTCCAAAATAACAGTAGCCTATGTTACTCCTTAGTACATTAGCTACCTGCGAATAAAAGTCTTGCAAAATCGGTCCAGCAATTCCAGAGATTAGCCAGTACAAACAGACAAATAAACAGACAAAAATTGTAAAAAATCTTACTTTGGTATCATCGTATGCATGTAGTAAAAAGCGGTTATTTTAATATTACAAATAGACATCATTTTAATATTACAAGAATAACATCATAACGTCACGCCTTTTATCCCGAAGGGGTAGGCAGAGGTGCACATTATACCACTGTACAATGTAACACCCACTAATTTATGTTATGAGTCCCATGTAATAGGGGGTGAGCCTATTGCCATATGCTGGGCACAATTCCAGACTCCGTGCTACTACTGATAATTTTTTGAAAACTCAGTAATACTTTGCCCGACCCGGGAATCGAACCCGAGACCCCTTGCCCTTACAAATAGACACTGCAATTTTATTTATCTGTATAGATATAGAGAAGATTATTTGTAGCTGTTCCAGTAGTTTTAGAATCAATGCTGATTGGCAATTGTTTATAATATGTAACACTTTTTTTAATCTTTTATTCATATTTGTCTGGACTTTAAAAGAGACAGACCTCTGAGTTTGTTTCGGCATTTCTTCTCAGAGTAGTCAGTTAGGAAATATCGACCTCATCGTTCGCTTGATAAAATTGACGTGTAAAAGTGCTGCCTTGAAGCCTATTTG